TCGCATCAAGTTTGCAGACCGCACACGTGTGTATAAGCGAACACGTTCGCTTTGGAATTGTTCTGTGACCGAACATGTTCGGTAACGAACGGTTTGGTGACCGAACTATCGGATTGGTGCATGCCTAGTTTTAACTGCACCTTCAAAAAATCGATTTTTTTGAGCTAAACCTCGCTAAAAATGACTTATTTAACAAAATAAGGTCTATTGAAAAATTCATCAAGAAATTTTCTACAATATGATCGTTTTTTTAATGAGAAATAATGATCTTCTAGATGAAATCGGAGCAACCCTAGCACATACACAGTTTGATTTTTTGAATTTTAACTTTCAACAAGGAAGAAATAAAAACTGCTGATTTATTATTGAGCTGAGATCAATATTGTTATTTATTTGCAAGCATAAGTAACGTCATTAACTAGCTGCTCTAAACCGATTTACATGACTCAATCTTAAATATTAATTATAATCTTAATTTAAAGATTTAAAGCCACTTGCATTCTGTTTTTAGATCAATGATTTTGAACATTACTTAGTATTAGACCTGACTAATTTACCAACATCGGTCTCAGGAAAAATGGCGTCATATCCGAATCATGAACTACCAGATATGTATAGAGTATGTTCAAGCTATCTAACAAATATATTAACGTTAAAAGTCCATTGTGTCCTCACTTTTTTTTCAAAGACTAATATTGTATACCACCTGCAGGTGGTATTTTCTGAGATATTTTAATGTCAACTTTATTGTCAACCCTCTATGCAATGCTGAAATCTGCAAGACTTCGAAGTGCATTGTTCCAGAGTTATTAAAGAAATAGCCAACAGCATTCTAATTTTTTACGGACAACAGAAGAGAAAACTTGACTAAATATTTTGTTTAAGATACGTATACAGCAGTACAGTTTGTCCACCTAAGGCGATACCTCTCTCATTAAGTTTCTGAAAATAATAAAAAAATATTTATAATAAAACAATATTTTTCACGATCGGATAGCCCGTTGATTAAGCTGCAAAATAGCTCTGAAAAAAAAATTTCTATCAATCGTTTTGGGAAAATTTGTGAAAAAGCCCCCAGCCAAAATACGTTATTGGTGGTCGAGTATATTCTGAATCATCTTGGAAAAATTGCTATAGAAGGGGAGTCAGACCAGGTGAGAGATGTCTTACGAGCTCTTCGGACAGTTCCACGTAACTCCGCCCAGTATTACATGATCTGAAAGTCGGTCAGAAATTAATCTTGTCATCGTCTAGAACATGAAAAGCCGCTTATAAATCCATACATTTTAGCTGTTCAAACGGTTCCGAGAATGGCCGCCCATAGCTCGCAAAAGACGATTTTAGGAGTTTTTAAGGGCGCTATGCAAATTTCACCGCTACATCTGAATTTTTCTAACAGTGATGACCGAAAAGAGCATAAAAGATTGCATATGTTACACCAAAAATTAAGTTTTTCCTCATCAATTTTTATACAAAGCGTTTATGTCGAAACTTTACCGTCACTGGCCAAAATTACAATTTTTAATTCGAGAAAAAAATCATCCAAAGATTAAGAGAAACAGCTTATTTTTAAAATTAACAGAAAGTGCCACTGAAGCTTGTCTCAATGCTACAAGAATAAGAAAATACTTACCGTTTACCTTTAACACCCGGTTGCCGAGACTTCATATAAACTTAATTTAATAGAAGAAATGTTGAAAACATCAGCACAATTACGAATAGAAGAAGGCGAACCCATTACAACTTAACATAAATTGACGACAATAGGAATACCATAGGAATAAAAAAAAAAGAAAGTGTAACTGATGCACAAGGGGTAGAAAATGATATCATGAGATTCGAATCTTTCTATGTCGCGAATATTTCTAATTACAATAATATATAGTTTATTCATTTCTGTTCCGTTTAAAGATGTTGCAGGTTTTAGAAAGAGAATGTATTCAAGAGTAAGGGTATCGATTGTTTACTAGAACATTCAAGTCATTTTCAAAGGTAGTTCGTATTTAGGGTAATATTGAGACTCCAAGAAGAAATCCTGTACAGCCTTATCACAAGCACACTGAGAGTTGCTAACTCAGTTCTTTTTATAAGTGATCAATCAAGGGAGAAAAATTTACGCGCATTTGATTAAGAATCATGTCGTATTTTCTTTCAATATTTTTGAGTCTCGGCCATTTATAGCAAGGAAAAAAACTAATCGTTTATTGCAGAACGGAATTTTCTTAAAGCTGAAATTGTAGTAATAGCAGTAGGTAAAGCATTTCATTGCTTAATTATCCATGGAAAAAATGTATCTTCCAGCTTAACTTTATGGGTGCGGTATGTGTTCATGCGTTTGTTAGAAGCAGATCGCAAGGTCATAGTTGCTGTTGCTACTGATCTTGGTATTCTATCAGATAGAAAAAGTGGAGTAAGACCTCTGAATATTTTGAATAATAATAAAATTTTGTGCGTCGCAAATAGATGTTCAAGTGATAGCCATCCTAGTATGTTGAAAACTTTATCTGACGAACTGACGTGAGACGCATAGCAACACTAACAGTGAGTGCAGCATCGTATTGTAGTTTTGCAATTGGCTTTAAATAAGCTAATACAGTGGGCGAAGAGGTATTTCCAGTCTGAATCTCTTTCGTACATGCATAGATGACAACTGCATAACTTAACACTGGCAAAATATACGATTTATAGATCTAGTCGAGTGATTCTGGTGATTTTTGTACCATTCGACCTAAGCTAATGTACCTGCATGGTTTCCCATTAATACTATCCCATTGGCACATAAGTTCTGCACGTTTTTTTTCTGCTCACACAATAAGCAACTTTATTTTTCAAAAACATGCCGCGTCAATCAACAATATAATCGCCGTTGTTCTCGACAACTTCTGCCCA